CTCTCCCCCTCTCCCCCCCTCTCTCTATGCGGTGCTAAAAAGCGATAGAACAAATATTTGTTTAGTACCGGTGCATCGAGACTTTGCCACGCCTCCTGATACACAAGCGTAAAAAGAAGATAAACCGCACTTCGAAATTCAACCTCGCAATCGATATTTTCGTGCTGCGCTAAACTTTGCGACAGATTACCACCTATCTGCGCCTCTCTACGAAAGAACGCGTCCGAAAAGAAGGAAAATAATCGGAGCGCCATGCGAGGCCGATACGCTGTACGTCTCGGTTTAAATGCATTTTCGAGGAACAAATTAAGTATTCACGAGAGAAACGAGAATACGTGGCTCCAAAAGAGAAGCGAAAGAATGCACGCGCGAATTCGATGTGCTCCCGCTCTCCCTCCCCAAGCTCTTATAACTGACTTTTTAGTCACGTTCCTTGAACGCGATTGCTATTTTGGAAGTTAATATGTTTTACTTTTCATTCCAAACGCATACGCATCCCATGCTGGATCAATGTCGCCCATCGCTGTCCGATCAAAATATCATTTCTCGCATTGTGTTCAAGGATTTTAAATACAAAAGAAAAATATTGTGGAAGATGAGAGACATTTTCTATTACATCGCAATTTGATGCAATGTAACTGAAATTGAATAATGTGATTTAAAGAAAAAACGTCGCGCCACTTTACCTCGAAATCTTCACTGATAATTACCAACGTCATAATTGCAGCGAACCGGGACAAAGAGACTTTCAGTTCAGACTCAGAACCGATCTTGCGGTTCTTGTCGACGATTAAGCACGCGATGAAGCACGCAGTTAGTTAATGAAAAGAAGGGGGCCGTCGTATCCGCGAAAGCTAGAGTAGCTCTCGGTCCTAAAAATACTGCCGAATCTAATTCTCGATTACGTCCCGCGAACTTGAATGCAAGACGAAGGGCAATATACTGATTCACGAACATTGCTCGGGAGCGTGCAAGAGGCGTCGAGTTCACCGTAAATATCGCATTTAGCTTTTGAAACAATGCCAAGATCGCGTCATTATCATTTGCTCCGCCGTTAAGACCCCGCCGCGCTTAGAGTTTACTTTAGCAGCGATCGTCACGTCGAACATGACGAGCATCGTGTATCGTCTACTAAAAATTACATCAGTTCCGAAGAATTGTCTACTCAGTCTACTGGTATTTATCGACAAACACATTTAATTCGTTAAACCCTTCCGACAGAGAACGCGAAATGACTGCAGTCGACTGATGACAAATATTCGGATTAGAATACGCGAAGCTATCATATAACGACAAACAATTTATCGAATACTTTCGAAAGTTAACGCCCACGAGATATTTTGAAATATTCCGAACAAAGTTTTACAAAATGCATAAACAGCGTACAAACGCAGCGCACGTTCCTCGAACGGTATCCCCGTATACCCTTCGCAGCGAAGGGATTGCTAATGCTCCTGAGACCCCCGTAAGCGTGATAAATATCTTGAATCTTCGTAAGAGATGCGCTCGACGAGACGCCTTCGCAGTGATCGGTTTCGCGCGAGGCTGTTCTCTCTCGACGAGTGACATTGCATAAATTCCGGTCAGCAGCGAGTGCGCCGTCCGCGTTGCTGCTGCGTGTCGCAAGATATTCTTCGCCGAAACTAGCGGAAAAAAGAAAAAAAGAGACCTATTGATCCTCAAAAGCCGCCGGTCGCGCTGGTCTTTCGTTCGGCGCGCGAACCGGCAAGATATAATTTAATGTATCTAATGATTCGCGGAGAGTGAGTGGCAGGAACGTGAGTGGCGTACCAAGGTCGTCGTATTTTTAGTTAGGCCAATGTTTAGTTGGCCACGTTCGTTCTCGTCGGAGATAGAGGGACCTTGAAATTCGCGGATAACATCTGCAGCCTTATCGACGCGGCGGTCCCCAATCCGCCTCCTCCTCTTTCTTCTCCTCTCCCTCCCTCTCTCTCTCCCCCCTCTCTCCCCTTTCTCTCTCTCCCTCTCTCTTTCCCCCCGCTTTGCGTTCTTTGGCGATAAACTTTTTCAGTACTAACCTAGTATAAGCCAGCCGTTCAAATATTAATCGACAATGCGAGGCCGCACCTGAATTTGCACAACCGACCGATCGACCGATCGACTGATTGTCGCGCATTTGTCAAAGTTTTCTCCTCCTCTCAACCCCCTCGGCTCCGATTTCCTCCTCCCCCCTCCCCAAGGATACTAGCGAAAAAGATATATGCGCAATCGAAAAAATGCGTCAGCCAGACTATCATGGTCTCCGTCGCGGCCGATGACGACTGCCGTCAACTCGGGGAACATTCTCGCCAGCTGAGACTCGGTCGAAACCGCGAAAACGCACGCACACACGCACACACGCGCACACACACACACATACGTCGCGTTCGATCGGATATATTCCTTATTCTTTTCCCCGCACACACCCGCATTCAGACGCGAGCGCGCTCAATACGGCGCGGCTGCCGAAATCCGCTTGTGGAAGGTCACGCACACCCAAGTACGCCATTCTTCGTTCCCGTAATTATTTGCCATTATCGTTAGCGGGGAGGGCGACTCCTGTATCACCTTAAGCGATGTAATCGCGCCATTACGTCGACGTAAGCGGTCAGGCCCCGTCTCTCTCGACGCGCGTCGGCAGTGCGATGATTTTCGATATACGGGTCGCCATCGGCATTCCCGTTTCTCGTTTAATTCCCCGTTTCGTATAGTAATTGAAACTTGTAATAACTTGGTAACGCCATAACTCGGCATTCTAATTCCGTCTGGCGTCTTTTTCCACCTTTCGTTAATTATCGTAGATAATTTCATTGTTAAGAATGCACCGTTTTACGGATAGAAAAAAAAATTATTAGACCTATCACATCCTCTTTTACGACAATATACGTGTGCTATGCGCATACGAAAGATCAATGAGAATCCCGGAAACCGAAGTTGCGAGACGTAATTTCCGGCGCTTTATCGATCAATCATATTGTATTATTTTCTTTCCTTTTCTTTTCTTCGATCGTACCTACGCGTGCAACGAACGTCACGGCGCCATATCGGCGATATCACGCCGCGTATATTGATTCTATTGCAAAACGTTAACACACGGGGGCAACGTTAACAACACACGGATACGCAGCCCGTTCAATCGAGCGATACAAGCACGTCAACGATCGATTATCGAGAAATCGGCAACACTTATGTCAACGACACTCAAAGCATCCGGCGCTGATGGTTGAATTCCCGAGCGGGAAACCGGCGAATGCGATACGCATACACAAACGCCGGGGGCGCGTCGCCCTGCGCGTCATTAACCCCCTTCTTTTTAGGCCCCGGCGACGCAACCCTCTCGTGGGTGTCGCGGTGCGCCGGGGTAACGATTTCGCGGCGCGCCACGAATATTGCACAGTGATGCCAAACACTGGTACACACTCCATTCCATTTCTTTTACGCCAATTGCGTTCGCGTGTGCACATCGTCGTGCCGACATTAATAACGGCGGTTCGATGTTCGAGCGAATGTATCTGCTGCGGCCAGCGTGAATTTTTCGCGCGAGTCGATAAAATTGTCGTCGGGCCCAAAGGCGTCGCTCTGCCCACGTAACTATGCTCTTTATTCAACCGCCTCGACTATAGAAAAAAAAAAAACAAAAAAATATACTGGTAGAGGTATACAAGGTGTCTCAGAGAGAAGTTTTTCGGAGTGAATTATTTAGTCCTTTGACGATTTTTAGATGCCAGAGTCCAATTTGAGCTGAAACTTTATGGAACATTTTTTAAGAAATATAGTTTCGACTTGTCTAGGAATGTCTCACAAAAGTTATAGGCACAATTAACAATGAGCTACTCGAAAATATTCTACGTATAGTATTGACAGCAACATGAAAACGTGGTATAGCAATATAGCACATCGATGATAATATTATGGTTGATACATTTTTGATACATTTCGGTGCTCTGCCTTATTTAACTTTTTGCCTTTTGTTACAAATATTCCGTTCTGAATAATATATTCTCAAATTCTCCCGGGACACCTTACACTCATATTGATTTGAAACATAACTAGATAAATAGATCGAAATTATACGTCTACACTTTTAGAAAAATTTATAAAATGACGCGTGAAAATTGACGAGTAAAAATAATTGTTTTGGCGTAATATCTGCGAAGTATGTATATGTAATATCAAACGCAACGTATATATGTTTCCGATACATAGATATAACGTATTAATAAAGTACATTTGTGAAACGTGCCGCGCGCGGATTCACCTCTTATATACGGAATTTAGATAAACCGTGATAATAAATTCGATCGTATTCGTGTATTAAAACGTAGCACAATGACGTTTGACGTGTTAACGAGCATAAGTTACAGTCGACGAGCGTGCTTGTGCGCCGAAATTTTGCAAGGACGACGCGACATTCCGAGAATTACATTTCCGAGCTCGGCTGTAAGATTACGGTTACCGAGCTCGGCCGTGTCCACTCGAAACTGTGGAGCCGCATGTGCTCCGCGTAGTGATTTTTTTTTACATGATTTTTATGATATGCAAAATGTAGGCGATTCGTATAAATGGTGCCGTATAGTAATGATGATATCGATGATTTTGGAACGCATGCCAATTAGAAGAGATTTTAATAATCTTCCAAGCAGATAGTAGTGCTCTTTCACCGCAACCAGTAAACATTTTCATTCACGTAATTTGTGATTTGTGGTTAGTTTGATATAACTGCACAAGTCCTTAGTTACTTTTATTAGAGCGAACCGCTACATCGCGTACGATCGAGGTCTGCCGCGATGTATCGACTGTCAGTGGAAGAATAATAAAGTAGCGCAGAGTGCCCTTAAAAAAATCAAAAGAACGCACATTGAACGCACGTTTCTACGGCCGCGTGATAACGAGTGCTACATATATAGCGGGAGCGTGATATCGATTTACCTCGACTTCTCAAGCAATTCTAATGATTTCAAAAGGGCAAAAGAGCTAAAAGAGATTCAAGTTTTCCTTACCTTGCGAAGTGCCCGCTAGATCCGGTGTCTGCAAGCCGTGGCCCAACCCTGGAAATTTCACTATCGTCACACGTAGCAACGGCAATCCCATCGCGCGCAGAAACTCAACAACGGCCTGTACGCAATTTCGCAATTAAAGAAGAAAAAAAAAACGCGTGGTGATGCGACCGAGGGTGGTGCGGACAAAAATCGGTCAACTGCGAAAGCGGAGTGCTATACGCCAAGAGCCGAGAACTCCAGTCGCACAGACGATGCGTGCTCAAACGGTGCTCAAACAAAGGTCTAAATCAAATCGACGGAAGCAACTGAATATCTTTCTTAAAATGCAAAATAAAACAATTCAGGCAGGAGTGTTGGCAGTAACCAATGTACTCGACTCAAACCGCGACTTGTAATTCGACGTGCACGTAATGAGAAATACCGCTATATGGAACAGAGACCGTGTGCGCTGGAGAGACGATCTGTCGCGTACGCTCAACCCTTAAGTGCAGAAAAATAAAACATACATTTCCTGAAAACCTAGATTTGTTCTTTCTTCAGGTCCTTTCATTCGAGGCCTACCTCAGCTTGAATAGAAAGTTGATAGTCCGAGATTAATATCGAGCAGTCACTCGCGCACTTAAGGGTCAAAGGGTGAACGCAGCCGAAGAGCTGCGAATTGGTCTGTGCGTACAGGCCCACCACGGGCTCCGGTGTCCCCCACGTACCTGATAACGGCGTGTGATCGGTGGTGAGCGCCGCCATACTGAAGTTGAAGCTGCCGGGCGTCGACGTGAAGAGCTTGCTTTCCGGCAGGAAGTTCTGCGCGGACGTGTGCTCCGGTTCCGGCTCGTGTTCGTTGCTGCTCGCGGACGCGGGCGGCCGGTCCGACGCCGCGGCGCCGGAATCCGACGAGTCCTCGTTGTTGCCGGCGTTACCGCCGCCGTTGCCGCCGGTCAGCTCCAACGGCTCGCACTTTATATTGTCCTCGACGAGGCTGTTCTCGTCGTGTACCCCGTTGCCCTCCACCTTCGTCGACAGGTGGTTGTTCTTGACCATCGAGAAGTCCGTAGGCGTGGCGTCATTGTTGTTGAGCGGTGGCGACGGCACCCGCGGTCTCTTGGCCGACTCGTCGTGCGGGTCCGGGGTGCGTCTCTCGTTTCGACGTATCTGGGCACGGCGCAGGAGCTGCTGCACCGTGGTCGGCGTCGGGGTCACGGGCGTAGGCGAGCCGCCGCGAGGGAAAGTCTCCTCCGACTTCTCGTGGAACGGCAGGTGATTGCCGCCGGCCGCTAACGCGCGGACATGCGACAGCTGAAAACAAAAATGGAACGGCAATGGTAGTATTAATTATACAGACTACAGCACACACACACACACATACACCAACACGTACGCACGCGTGCACGCACACTCCACTCCTACACACGCTCCCAGATCGGCCGTAATTACTGAGACCATCGCGATACGCGATACGCGAACCGGATTTGTCGTTTAATCGATCGAAAAATCATTTCACCAAAAATGATAGTTCGGTCGATTGGGTGGTGAGCAAATTGAAGAGTCTCGCGATATCGCGACACCGTATCGATATTCGATACTTTACATTTACGGTAAATACCGATTTTCAATTTATTGAGCGAGCCGCTTTATCTTTGTTTGCTTGACCTATGACAATTACGAGTCGGAATCAAGATAGACGCGCTCTCTGCATCGAGATAACACGGAGGGGATCTTTCGCCAAATGTAACGTCTAACAAGTAACGTAAAAGATACGTTTGAGCTTTCGAGAGATACGCGGCGAGCGCTACGTCGTGGCCAAATACCCACACACAATACGTGTTCACTTTCTCACGGTTGAAACTCATGTTTACACGCGCTTTTAAACCAAACTTCGAAACCGTACGTAATTGCGGTGCATTCGATTTCGAACGTGCCACAGACACGGTCAAGAAAATGGAACGGAGATAGAATCTTACGCCAGCTGTCGCACCTCCATTGTCACTCGTAATTCTCGTAAACGCAGCGTGCAACGTTCTCACGTGCCCGCAGCGTCAAAGTCCGAAACTCACCGGAATTACCCCCGCTTTCAGTCCCCCCCCCCCCCCCCCCCCCCGTAATTTGCGCCCGAAAAACTTACCTCATCTCTGTCGGGCTGGTCGGTCTGTTGCGTGAGACCCGATACCCTGAGGACCTCCGCCGTCTTCAGAAAACTACTGAGAGAACGCTGATGCACGTTCACCTCGCCGTGATAAATAAACTCCACTAAGGCATGCAAGTCGCTGAACGCTACATCCTGGAGCACTATCACTGGGTGCTTGCACGGCGTGCTCTGAAACGGTGCAACGTTTATTGCGCATAATCATTAACGGGTGGCGATTGAATTTCTTTCTATTGACTTCTAAATCGACCTCGTTTACTTCGCGAGCGAAATCCGCTCCGAATGTTTCACGTGAATCGTGAAACCGGAAGGTCTTCACTGGCATTAGCGAAAGAGGGAAGAGGGCGGGAGAGGCGGAGTCCTTACCTTGAGCAATTCTCTGAAGTACGGACTACAGGCGGAGAGAACGACGCGATGCGCTTTCAGGCTCTTGCCGTCGCAGGCCAGCGTCACGTCCACGAAGTCCTCATCGTCCCGCAGATTTTCAAACGCCGAGGTTATGCTGCTCTGGTAATTGTTCCATCGCAGGCAAAAATGTTGTGTATCTACCATCGTTGTGTCTATTCACCTGCAATTAGAAAAAGGAACGTCTTGCTGCCACCGACTGGACTGAACACAGAGCTGTCACTTAGCGATCTAAACGCGACGCCCGCGATGCAAGAACGCGCGTGCAAAAAACACGCGCGGCCGATCGGCTTCGCCGCTTAAAACTAAACGTTAATGTGACGCACGCGCGCGTAATTAAAAATTTTCGGCTACGATGCCGTCCTAGGGCACGACGCGCGCCGATAAGCTTGCAAACTGATAATTTTAGATAAGTCCAAATTTCGACATTCGAAAACACAATTGCAACGTGTACACACATTCGATACTGATATCAAATCGCAGTTGCATGTGTACCGCGATATTCCTGATAAATCGGAGGATGACTATAAAAAAAGAGGAGAGAACGTTGGGGAGAGTTAAAAGAAAAAAATAACACACAGCGATTAGATGCTTGAGAATGTATTCTTGTCCTCGCGTGATGCATATTTAATTCAGCTGCGATATTCGCTCGTTTCAATTCTCCCCGCTTGTTACAATGACGAGAAAATTTGACATCGTCGATATTAAATTTTTTTTCTACGTGGCTTAAATTATTGGCGATAAAAAGTAATTTCCGACCGGCAATCAATTTTTCATAAATTTATATGCAGCAAGTTCGAAGCTTCTTGTATCGAGGCTTGACTCGAGCTTAAGAAACTACAGGGAAGAATTGTGTAAGAAACGCAAGATTAATTACAGAGATGTAAAAAATGTGTATTACGACGTCGAGATATACAAATGAAGAGACGTTTTCATGCTCCTGCACTTCGAAATACGTCTGCATGCGTGATAATCCGAAAACTGTCTTGCGAAAGATACGCGTTAATCGGCGACGCGTAGTGAAATAATGAATTGGAAATTCTACAGAAGAAATGGAGGAATTGCGAATAGATAAACTTACTGCCGGCGCGGGAAGGAGAGACGCGCGTTTATTTGTCCAATTGCGCGGAGAAGAGGCGGGGATTGCGGGAATAAAAAACTAAGGAGGACCGTGTGCAATTCGCCGCTTCGCCATACGGAAAAATTAGGTCGTCAAGCCGGAGCCAATTGAGAGTACGTTGATTAAATAATTCTCCGCTACTTATAAAAGCGGGAGCACTAAATGTGCGCTGATAGTGTTATCTTAGCGTAATGATAAAAAAAAAAGAGGAAAGATCTTAAAACAAATTTACAAAGCTCGTTCCTCGCGCGAGTGTGCTAGCGCGCATTGGGTGAAATGCCGAGACGTTTAACGAGAAGCAACGAGAGAGACGTTTTCGCGAAGATAATGTTAGCGAAATTGGAACCGATAACCGTGCGCCGCCGCCGCCGCCGCTGCGTTTTGTCAAATTTTTTAACAAATAACAAAATTTGCATAACGAATTCGCAAATCCATTTATGCCATCGAATACCGTATACGTATCGTGTATCGATAACACGAGCTCCGTGAATTTAAATTGTTTCCGGTCTCGCATTTTTTTCCCGTTGCGTACAAAAAAGAAAAAAAAAAAAAAAAAAATAGTAGGAAAGTGAAATGACGAAGTGGTGCAACACGAGGAAAAGTCGGCAGGCGGGAAACGCTCGTGTCTCCTTCCCTTTAAATCGCGTACCGATATGTAGAAACCGTTCTCTCCGAGTTTCTAGGGTCGCGCTATCGCAGTCTGCTAAATTTACGTGTGACGAATCGGCGAGATAACTCCGCCACCGAACATTGTTTGATAACAGACAAAAAAAAAAAAAAACGTCGGGCTCGCGTCGCGCGCGCTGGATTCGGCTGGTACAGCCGAAAAAAATTACAACTCTATCGCTGTTCTCGCGCGCTTTATTGCCGGCGGTACGCCGGCGAGCAACGCCGTAACTATTTGCACAATTTTGCCGCGCACAGCCGGTCGCGGGATGACCGCGGGTGGAGATTACGCGAGCGGGAAATACCGGATCGGAGTTTTGGGGAAATTGGCATGTGTCACAAGTTGTACATCACACTCCCGCCGAAACGTCGGATCGAAACCGAGAGAGGGTATACGCACACACCGTTCGACACGCGCGATCGACGGATCGATCCCGTGATCGTGATCCTCTCGAGAGTACGGTACCTTCACTAACACACACGTGCAGCCAAGTATTGTAGTTTCTCGCACGATATATACAATTTCTAAGGCACGCTCGGCCGGCAACGCGAATTACAGTTTGCCAAGTGCGAACGCGTTATCGCGAGGGAACACCTATCGGCCGTCATGCCGCGTAATCTAATGACCGAAACAATGAACCGAACACGATGACGACGGAGCGACGCTGCCTGCGTGCCTGCGTGCGTGCGTGCGTGAATGAATCCGTGCGGGCGAACTGTGTGTGTGTTTATCTCCGAGCGAAAAGAGAAATGGAGCATATATACACTTGACACACGCGACAGAAAAAGAATCGTTCACGAATTCGCGCGGTGGTCCCTCCCGTATCGAGACACAAGTTCCATCCGAGAGATCGAGCAGTTCCGCGATCGATCCGTGACACCCGCGTGATCGACACGCGTATATAGCGACGCGTGAAGATCGGGAGATAGGATCCTCGGCCGTGAATCCGTCCCCCGAAAAACGGATTCGCGGAAGCGTTTTCGCGCGAGCGAGCGAACGAGGGTGCGAGGATATCAGTAAATACACTTTCAAATAAATACTAAACGATTTTGTCGTTCCTTCCTTCCTGCGCGTGGATCATCCTCCTACCCCTCCGCTCCCTCTCATCGCGCGCACCAACCACCACCACCGCCCCCACGCCGTCGCCGCCGCCCGAACTGTCGGCCACACCGAAAGTGATCGCGATCGAACGAGGACGGCGCGGCGCGCGCGTGAGACAGAAAAAGAGAGCTAGATAGGCGGAGGCGGAGGCGGGATGGGGAGACGAGAAGGATGATCGAGCGGGCAGGATCGAGCGCGCCGCGACTTTCGCGCTTGCCGCGCGCGCGAGATCCGCGTTTCATCCGCGTGACGGATTTCCGGATGTTCACGTATCGCGACGACGACAACGACGACGACGACGATTATTGTCCAGGTCACACGTCGCGGTACGCAAGTATCGGAGAACCGGTACAGCACGGCGGTACAGTGGCGGTGGCGGCGACGACGACGGCAACGACGGCGGCAACGGGGACGACGACGACGACGACGACGTCGACGCGCGCGGAATCTTCTGCACCTTGACTGGGGGCGCCGCGAGCGAGCAGTCACCGCAGCAGGCTCCTTCCCCGTCGCATGCCGTGTGCAGAGCGAAACCGACCAACCCCTAAAACGTCACGTCACGACTGTGCGACTCCGTCCCGGAGAAGGCGCCGCGCTTTCCCCCCGCGCCGCTTCACGTCGGGCCGGTACGCCGCGAGGCCGCACGAAAATGTACGAAAAGCCGGCGATCGTCGTCGCCGTTATACGAGAACGGGCGCGTACCCGCGCGAGAGGGAGGAAAGCGGAGACGCGGAGGAAGGAAGAAGTCACGAGAGGGAGAGAAAACGCGCGCCCGTCGCGTCGTCGGGGGCGAGGAGGAATACGGAGAACACGGGGAAAGGGTGAGAGCGCGGGAGAAAGGGAGAGGGAGAGAGATCGGCGACGATTGAATGACACGCGGATCGAGAGGAAGACGCGAAAGGGGGAAGGGGATTTTTTTTCATACTTGGGGTACATCTCTAATCAATAGTTTAGAAGACGAGTGGTGCACGAGCGGGAGCGAGGAGTTGAAAAATAGCGCGACGTGTGTGAGCAATGACAGGTTTTGCGGAGCGACGACACCGCGTGTGCGATAAGATGACGTGTGCGCTCCGAACGCGACACACACGCACAAAATGAGACGGAAACGCAGAGAGAGACGAAGCGACATAATCCATTCCTTATGTTCGCGTAATGAATCGGTCTGGCGGCTAACGATATGCACGCTAATGCACGATTAGAATATCGCGGATTAGAATACCGAGAATTGAAATCGGTATATAATTTTTCAGCTGGTTCTTGACGTTAGAAAATTGGGCTTCGTTATTTTAATCGCGTCCGCGTTTCCGTCACCGACAATAAACCGCAACGTTGCCTAGCGTTGGAGACTAGGTTTACGCGAAATTTTACATCGACGTCTTACAAAGTACAACGATGAATCATCACTGGGAAGAAGTAACGTTATCTAATAAAATCTTTCTTATTACGAAAACTAAAGCTATATATCGATCAAAGATCATGCTCCGATCATCAATCGTGTACTGATCATGAAGCTCCAAGATTTAATAAAAATTAATTTAAGAATCGAAACCGGCTAATGAACTCGATTTTCCGTGTTACAGATATTAAAAATGTACCTTTTCCGTATATCTAGCGACGAGAATAAATATGAAAAATCATTTTCAGAGTGCACCGATTTCCATCTCTGAATTAAACACGAGAATATATAATTCTGAAATAAATCTTGGATTACTTTACCGATCATTTTTATACGGATTTTATATGATTTTGGGATTAAAATTTCACGAGAAAAAATTCACTCCGATGTCGAATTAACGCGAGAAAAAGACAAGAAATGGATTGTCACAGATTCTTCAAGGCGATAATAAGTAACCGAAAATAAAAATTAACGAACGAGATATGAAAAATCGCGGAGCGAGCGTAATCGGATAGAGCTGCGAGCTAAGAAATTCGAATAAGGCCGATTATATACCTCCAATCTCCGTGTGATGTATGGAGTTATCGTTAGCGTAAACTGCGGACGGCTCTCTAACGAGGCAAGATTTACTCCAGAGCGATGCGCTCGAACGCAGCCCCGAGTTAATTACCTTGTGGGGGGGGGGGGGAGTCTGTCAGAGAGTCGCTCTCACGTGCGTCGCCTTTCCCGGTGTCGTCTCGCCGATTTCAAACCACCATCCTCCGACTTCTGGTTCCGTCTGCGGTCTGACGGTCTTCCGGTCCTTTTCCTCCACGCCGGCTGTCACTGTGTGGCACGCGGTTCGCAGTTAAATATCATCGTTCACCGACGACGCGCGGTACCAATTGACTTGAATCCCGGCGGTGCCCTCGTTATCGCCGTTTGTCTGAAAACCATCCGTTTCTTTCTCTGCGTGTTCTGCGAAGATCTTATTGCGAGGGAAAGAGAGAGAGAGAGAGAAAGAGAGAGAGAGAGAGAGGGAGAGATAGAGAGACAGAGTGGCGCGCGTCCGAACCGATTTACCCCCTCATTACTGGCGGTAATGGTTGCACACCGTGCACATGTGCGTACGCATGCATCAACCCTCCCTCTCGCTCGCTCGCTCGCTCGCGCGCGGTGCATTCAACGTGCGCGCAAACACACATACGTGTCCACATACGCGGACACCACTTTTTCTCTCTCTTTCTCTCTTTCTTCCTCTCAGACAAGGCACATACATGCATACGCACAACACGCGCGCGTCAACATACCCGCACTCGTATACGCACACGTTGCCACGAGCTGCACTGCCGCGATCGTCGGAAAACGGAATCTCATCCGGTTTGTCTCGGCTCCTTTCACCCGAGAAGCGCACCGACCGAAAATCTCCGCACTCGCGGGAAGAACACGCGCGAGACTCGAACGACCGAAAGCGAGAGGTGACGGAGGATCCTTTCTCGCTCCTTCTCTTTCTCTCTCTCTCTTTCTCTCTTTCTTTCTCTTCCGCCCGCCAGCCTCGTTTCGACCGCGAAATACGAAATGTTACCGCGAGACGAGACGATAACGATCGACGGCACGGATGGACGTTCGGGCAGGGGATGAACGTACCTAGCACGTGTCCCAGCACCAATCGTCGAAGGAGAGAGTGCACGTCCGTCCTTACACCCCGCGATCGAAACAACGATCCCCGGTACAAGTTCGAGGTCGGATGGACGAGGGCACGATAGGCATAATCACTGTCGCGGCATCGCACGCGGGGAGCAGCTGCCGATTCGCGACGGCAGTGACCGGCTCGGGAGTTTTAAAAGCGAGATATGAAGCGTGTGTGATGGCGAAATTGAAAACGAAAAAAAAGAGGGGAAAAAAGAAAGAACGAAAGAGAGAGAAAGAGCCGAGGGAGACAGAGAGGAGGAGGAAAGAATGAGAGAGGGAAACAGAGGGAACGAGGAGGAGCCGGAAGAAAAAAAGGAGAGAGACGTGCGTAACGTAAACCGGCGCGTTACAGTGACACCACGAGCCGACGAAGCACCAAGTACGGGCTGCTGTTCCCGAGCCTGGTTAGGACTAGCATGCGGGGGGAAGGCTCCCGCTTTGCCCGCCGTTATTCTTTATCGGAGCATGAGACATCTGTCGTAATAAGTGCGGACTAAAAAATAGTGCGTACGCAGAGAGAGAGAGCGTGAGAGTTGAAGGCGCGCGAGAACGAGAGAGCCGGCCACGGGCGCCATGGTGGGAGGTTGATGCTTGCGGCCACAGCGGCTGTTTCTCTCCCCGTGTACCCCGCACACCGCACACAATCTTGGTCTCTTCCCTCTGCCACACTCTTTCTTTCTCTCTCTCTTTCTCTCCCTCTCTCTCTCTCTCTCTCTCTCCCTCCCTCCGCCGGCGCGCTCTACCCCGCCGTAATCAGTTCATGAGACGAAAATGCGCGTAGCCGCCGCGAGCCGAGTCTGGCCACGAGAGCTGTAAAAATCTTGGATGCGCTCGCGGAGTCTGAGAAAAAAGATAGCGTCCGTCGCCGGATTCTGCACGTCTTTTTCCCTGCGCGGATCGACGATCTCTTTATTAAGATTGAATTTATTAAGATTTAATTTTGCGCTAGTCGCGAGGACCGTCGACTTTCATCGTTCGGACGTTTCGCAGGATCTCTCGAATTCCTCGCACGTATCAGAGATCGATCTTCAGTTTTGCTTTACGAGCGGCGCGGCGGAAGGGAAGAGATGGATGAGATTCGCCCGTTGAACGTTGTCACGGAATAGGATGTCGCGCGAAACGATCTTGGGCCGGTTTTCGGTCGGCTCCGGATGCGAGTACGTTACTGCTCCGAAACAAGAGGAACGAAACCGTAAAATGGTTCCTGCATGTTTCGGCTGAGATCGATAAACGGGGATCCGCTCCGCCGTTTTCCCCGATAATTATGTACCCCTCGTTCGTTAACATTAACGAAGCAAAAACGCGTTGACTCGCTCGCTCGCGGATGCGCGCGAGTACGTATCCTTGCCGCGCGGCACGCGCGCCGTCCTGCTCCTGCTAAACTCGACAGTAGCACCCAGAGCTATTACCCCCCCTCTCTCCTTCTTTCTCTTTCTGCCGCGAGCCGTGCACCACCGTAGGCGACCCCACTCGATTCGCCCCTCAAAAAATCATTACGCCCTTCCACGGGCTGCGCATGAACGCGGTTTTAATTCGCTACTAGAAAAGTAAAATGTAAACGGTGGTGGGCTCGAGGGCCCGTCAAGGGGCGGGTGGTGGCTGGTGGCGGGCTTCGGGAGGATGAGAAAAAGGCGGATAGAGAGCGCGAGAGAGTCGCGGGGGTGCGCGGGGAGGACGGCACACAGGCTGGCGGAGGCGGCGACGGTACGCGGGGGGTCGGTTGGGTGGTCGGGTGGGTGGGTAGGTGGGTGGTTGGGTGGCCGGACGACGGGGTGGGAGACGAAGTTTCGCGGACGTGGTCGAGGACGAGGGCGAGCGAATGTACGAGGAATGAAGCGACTGCGAGAGCGCGACGTAGGACAGATCCTTTTTCCTCCGACTAGCGACTAGCAGGAGGAGGAATATGACGGCGCGGGAGAGGATGGGGCGCGGTAGAGAGATGGAGGGGTTGGAGGTGGAGGCGAGAGGAGGATATACTGCGCCCCTACTTCTCTAGGGGTTCCATTGTAATATTTATTGATTGGATTCCTAGGAGCCCAGGCTGTGAGGGCTGTGGCACCTATGCTTGGACTAGATTGCGTACGAACGCTCGCGACGTTCCTCGACGATCGAGCCGTCACTTTTTCCACCACGCTTTTTCCTTCGTCTCCTTTACTTGTTTTTTTTTCTCTCGCGCGTTATCTATCGACATTCTCCTGCATCTCACTCTCTCTCTCTCTTTCTCTGCGATCCACGTGGTTACAGATTTGCGTAAATACCTCCGAACGAACGGCACGTGTCCTCGCAAGATTGCGACAAAAAATCGCAAGAGGCAAGAATTAATTATAGTACGAATAAGCGCTGAGAAATTTTCGATTTAAATGAATTAAAGAAGCAATCGTCGAAAAGGACGACGTGTACAAAATCGCTCTGCAAAATTGCTCTTGTCGATGGAAAATGAATAATTTGAGGACTATTCCTTTTTTGCAAATAGAGATCAGCAAGTATAAATTTTATCATGAGTTATATAATGCAATTAAATTTAAATTAAATTATGTCAACACAATCGTATCTCAAAACGATGTAGGAGAATACACGATTACGAGAGTTACAACTTTAAGTTTGGCCATCTATGTTTTCGCAACAAATTATTTACGCAGATTTTGCCGAAACGAGTTTCACGAGAAGAATTTAACTTGTCCTCGTTTTGCCCTAAAAACTATTTCGGCATACAGACCGATGCAAAATCGTCGATCCGTTTAGTAACACTCAATTTTAGCGAGCGAACATCAAATCGCATATATTTGGAATGCAAACTCGCCAGGGTCGTAACATTATCGTTCCCCCGACGATGAAGCGCGAAACACGTTATGCATAGGACGTGGCAGAAACGACGGAACTTACTTTCACTGGCCTTCCGTACACACGCATTCGATGGTTTCGCATATACATAGAACGACTAGTCCGATCACGTGACGCTGCGCCTCGCTTGCAGGCTCGCGTCTGCATCAACGAGAAGCAGCAGGTGTCCAAAAGCAGAGGTGACCACACCACGGGCGAGAAGGAGAAAGAGCGTTATAGAGCATTGCGTGTGTGTTCGTATGTGTGTACCTGTGGCTGCGAGAGAGAGAGAGAGAGAGAGAGAGAAGAGGAGAGGAGACGAAGGCGGAGAACGTCCGCGCGCGAACGGTGCGGAACTGGTAATCCTTGATCTTACGTGACGTAATAAATCCTCGCCGAATACGGGAGTTGCGTTAAATGCAGAATATCTTACGGACTCCGTAAGGCGAGCCCCGAAGAACACGATCGCGGCAAAGATTTACAACCGCGCGTAATTGATTTTAATGAACGCTTCTCGCAGATTTGGAGGATTCTCAAGGATGTTCTCAAAAGTGAATGCATGTATGTATATATATATATATATATATATATATGTTCTCTTCATATACGTATATGAAGAGAGAGAGCTTCTTATGGGATAAGAGAACAACTAATGTGCACGTGCAAATTTACGAATTGTTAATACAACCGTGCATGATTGATTTGGAGGAACGTCTTACGTTGAAACGGAGAGAGAGTAAAAAGTAGAATTATATAATATGTATTTCACGTTCTTCTTGTATATTCTTCTTCGAATAGATTCTTCAATTCTTATTCCATTCGTAAATTTATAAAGGTAGACAAGCAGAATATACCGCATGTCTCGAAATCACAGAACTGATGTCACTATAGAAAAATATCCGGAAAAGTATTGGCCGATGATTTCATTGTCTTCTTTATAAAATAAAAAGCCACTCTTATTTAGGCGCATAACTCGCCATTACAAAGTCGGGAAGAAATGCTTTGTAACGTAGCATTGTACGCATTCAGGTGGATGCTTCAATTGCAACCAGAAGCGTCTACATCACGTAATCATCCAAACCTTTCTTGCACATCCTGTCTCCTTCATAAGTCCACCATTAAGTATATGACATTACGTACATAGGTTATTTCAGCAAGAAAATGAAACAGTAGTAGCATACGAACGAATAGGAAATGTCGCATAATTGTATATAGAATAATATGAAAAATTTAAATTGTCATAAATGTTGAAAATTAGGCATTCAAAATTATTGCGTGTCGTACAAAGAGCTAATATGACGTGAAAGTATTAGTACTAGTACTATTATAATTACTCTGCGCGCGTTGCACATTCTTCATTTAGAATGGGATCTATTCTCGTATGTGTGACCTCCTTTTCTGTTTAAAATTATCTAAATAACATATTAACTCTACCCCTCATTTGAAACCTGGCAATTTTACGTTAAAACGTATCGTATATTTCATTCTCGACGAAGAAGGCGACAGAGAAAAACGAGAAATGCACGATGTTATTCCTCAATCGTCGATTTCAAGACTAATCGCCTACAGCCATCAGTATTCGTCTTTATGTCACCTATTCGATACGAAACGCAAAAAAGCTATTACAAGAATCATACATCGTCATTTAATTACGATAGAGAGCAGATCGCACTAATGAACGCGACGTACCAAGCGGCACGGTGCCCAAAATGGCCCCCTCCTTCCCGCGTTAGTGGCTTGGAAACGTCGTTAGGCGCTACGCACCTGCCGGTTAAAGTGCCGCCTACCAACGGCGAGACCGGCGTTTTCCGGGATTCGTGGTGATCGACGGCAACTGTACACGGCGATAAATCGCCCTGTTTAGGGAAGCGACGCGGCGGCCCGGTCCCAAATGCACTTTGCACACGCGAAGTAACAAAAGGCAGAGGTGAGGTATCGGGGGCAGCATACGTTTGATCGCCACGTACGTACCTTCCCCATTCTTTCGTCTATCCTTCTCTGGTCCCCGACTCGCCTCGGCCCGACTGCCCTCACTGAGACCCCCTCCCTCCGTCTCCTCTCTTTCGCTCTCTCTCTCCTCTCTCTACTCTTCTCTTTCTCCTTCTGCCACCATCGTCCCCTCTGCGCGAACCGGTACCCTTTCCTCTCTTCCCCTTGCACTCGCAAACATTTGGTGGCCGTTGACCTCAAGCGGGCTAATCCGTCGACAGCCAAACAACCAATTATTTCTCTTCAACGGTACGCTTCGCCACGACCGGCCGACATAGCGCTAAACGTGGGAATGCCCGAGGAGGTACTCAACAAATCAGGTGAAAAAAGCCTCGGTCGATTGCATCGGCAACGATGCACGACGCTCTAACTTCGATTAAATCAAATTTCTTTCGTCGCTTGTTTCCGTAGGCGAAAATATAATTTTTGATGCAAACTATCGCGAATGCCCGAGCATGCACACGTCGCGCACCATCATCGATGTAGAAACCTTGTAGAATTTAATATCGATTTTTTAGAGTCGTTACAATTAATCCTCGATAATAATTTCCTTGAAAATAACTTCTAAGATAACTCTCACTTTATAACTGAACATATTAGGTATAATAATATGCGAAGATCCCAAAGGAAGCTTTATGCAACTTTATGATCTCGATATTTAAGAAATTATAAAGAATTTATCATGATTTGTCAATAACTTTCCCTATACTGGTGTACTATTAAGAAATAAAAAATAACAGTCCCAAGGAATATGCGATTAAGTAAATATATATAGGTATTGAGTTTTTTGCGATGATTGTCCGATTAGCCAAAAAAAAAAGACCGTCGATATTGATGCCGCGATGGAACCGACTTCGTGCGGCAAGTTT